CTATGATTCCTCCTTTGGGCAGGAAGAGCATACTCTCCATCCCATCAAAGTCAATGTTGTCATACAGCTTGCTTCAGTCAACGAAATGCAGGTAGAACTAAAGTATATCACAACCAAGTGAATACATTACCAAGCAGAAGCTTTAAAAAATTAAGTATAGTTTTCCAAAGATTTTCTTTTTTTTTTTTTTCTTCCAAGTGAACTACTCCATCAGCCTGGATCTCAGAGTGAAGACATGTAACAGAATTGTAGTAGATTTGTAATAAACAGCATGAATAAAACAAAACAACAATCCCTTTGTTATTGTGAGTCCCTAATATTTTGTGGTTATTTGTTATTGCAGCAAAAGGTATAGATAGGTATAATATAGACAGATACTTCCTATGTTTCCTAACTCTCAATGGAAAAAACTTTCCAAAGATACATCTACCTAACTTACAAAGGTCAAACATCTTGGTCTGACATCTAAAATACATCTAATTCAAACCTATCTTTCTTTTTTTTTCTTTTGCTTCAAAGGTTATTATTAGAAAACTAGCAGTCAATTCCATTAGCCACATTATATTTATAGGAATACTGTACACATTTTGCTACTCTCTGGTTTGTTAGTTGTCTCCTATATGTTAAGCCTCTGCCTAAGATCTAACAGAGGGTATGACTGATCCCATTGAAGGGTTGAGCTGGGAAACAATGGCTAGAGTAATCTCCTTCAAGAACCCATAGCCAGAAATTGACCTAGAAGGTTGATAACCAAGACCAAGATGAGGGACCTGAACTGGTGTGGTGTCAGGATAGGATGGCAGTTTTGGGGGTTGGGGTAAATTGTACAGGCAGGCATAGATCAGTAAGCCAGAATGAAGACTTTTGAGTGTGGGTTTCAGGAAAAAGGCCCACAGAGAACTAAATATCAAGGTCTAAAAGACATAATTGAAAATTATAGACTAAATTTACACACACACACACACACACACACACACACACACATATCCCAGAAAAAAATCATAAATTGAAGCTCTAATCTCCACTGTAACTGTATTTGAAGACGGGAACTTTGAAGAGCTAATTAAGGTTAAATGAGGTCATGAGGTCGAGGCCCTAACCTAATAAGACTGGTGTTCTTATAAGAAGAGAAAGAGACACCAGCACACATGCACTGGGAAAGACCACGTGAAGACACAGCCGTCTACAAGCTAAGCAGGAGAAACCAAACCTGCCAACACCTTGATCTTAGAATTCCAGCTTCCAGAACTGTAGTTTAAGCCACCCAGTTTGTGGTATTTTGTTATAACAAGCAAACTAATGCATTGGAAGTAAGGAAGAGTCCCAGCCAAGATTGCTATAGACATTCTGTTTTCCCTGCAACTTTCCTTTATCTATTATCTCTTCTTACCCAGGACACTCAACCACACCAAGGAATTGTGCCACCTTTTTTTTTTTTTTTTGATACCAGGGATTGAACCCAGGAATGCTTTACCACTTAACCACATCCCTGTGCCTTTTTATTTCTTTTTTATTATTATTTCTTATTTTGAGATGGGGTCACTAAGTTGCTTAGGGTGTCACTAAGTTGCTGAAGCTGAACTCAAACTTGTGATCCTCCTGCCTCTGCTTCCCAAGTCACTGAGATTACAGGCATGTGCCACTGTGGCTGGCAATTATGCCACCTTTTGACAATGATGATATGCCTTGAGTCTAAGATTCTTAAGAGGCAGGAGCTATGATATATCTTTCACATAATTCAGAGACTTGTTCTATCCACAACAAAGATGATCATTATATGTTGAGGATTTACCTAAGTTTTCTAGAAGAATCAAAAGAACCTTATGGACATCAAAATAGAGGATGCTAGCTATGTCTCTTATATAAAATGATGTAGTTGCATATAACCTACAAATATCTTACTGTATACTTTAACTCATGTCTAGATTACCTATAATATCTAGTTCAGTGGTGCACACCTGTGATCCCAGCCATTTGGGAGGCTGAGACAGGAGGATCACAAGTTCAAAGCCAGCCTCTGCCTTTAACAAGGCCCTAAACAACTTAGTGAGAACCTGTCTCAAAATTTTAAAATTAACCAATTAATTAAAAGGGCTGGGGACATGGCTCAGTTGTAATTAAGCACCCCTGGGTTCAATCCCAGGTACCTCTCCAAAAAAATAAATAAATAAACCTAGCTCAGTGCAAATGCTAGATAAACAGTTATTATAATGTATAGTTAAGGGAATAATGACAAGGGAAAAATTTGCATATGTCCAGTAGCAATGCAATTGTTTTCCAAATATTTTTGATCCATGCTTGATTGAATCCACGGATGCAGAACCCATGAAGGACTGACTAAAATGGGTTCTCTGGTCCTGCTACTGAAAGTTCTTAACTCCATAGAACCCCTGAGTGGAGCAGGAGATGGGTATACAGAGAGGCTTCAGATGTTGACCTATAGCTTTCATCAGATTCTCAGAATCTTAACACTAAACAATTAAAAAAGAATACTCCAACTTAGATGTTGACATTTTCAGATCTCTGACCAATGTTGACACTATGTGGGTCAGTTCATATGCTGTAATGGAATAAGCTTTTGGTCAAAATTCCCTCATCCTATATAGATTGTGTAAGTTTTCTAAATCTGAGCTACAGCTCTATTATGTGGCTATTGTTGTACTTTGATTGTCCTTGGCTATGAGCTGTAAACTGTTTTAGAAATGACACATTTAGAAACAATAAGAGTTTGGATATGTGCCAATGAACATTCCCAAAATAAAGTCATACTTCAAAGACATTGTGAATTCAAAGCCCTCTTATTTATTTTTTAATTCATTTTTCTCTCTTATCTGTAAGAAATACAATGGACCTTTTTAATCATGTTATAGATTACTAAAACATCCTGTAAAACTGAAAATCAAAATTCTCAAGCTTGGCAACCTACAAATTAACTCTCTACATACATATGTACTTTTATGATATGAATACAGTTTGCTTTAACCAAGTTCCTTTTTTGTTAACAGATTTCTAGGAGAAATTTTATTTTGATCATTTCATAGAAATATGTCCATTTTAGTGTAAGGAAAAAAACATTAGTTTGTCAAATATTTTTCCATAGCTATTTAGCTAACATTTTATCTACATATTCATTGAATTGATGTGATCAATTAAAATCACCTCATAAAGCCATTTAAAATAAATGGGAAATGTCAGAACAAGAAGTTAGCATTTGGTTCCCTGAGAAAATGTCTTTTAACTAATTAGGACAAAATCCTCAGAAATGCTTTTCCTACATATCCTGCACCGGTCTTACCATTCCCAGGCCYCTTGGGAGATTAAGAGAATAAGCAGCCTGTGTCTTCCATACCTCAAAGACCAGATGTGCACAGAGGCCTGGGAGAAGCAAAGACAAACACAGCCCACTACTTTATCCTTCCTCCCAAAAGTCTGCTCACACCCCAGACCTTGAATAAGGGAAAAACATCCCATTGTCTGAGTCAAAAAGACGTCACATCCTTTCATCCTGTCCCTGGAAAGGCAATTTGGAGCAAGTAATCTTGATTCTAGAGAAGAGAGACAGCTCCCAGCTGCACTGCGACATGCTCTTGGTTCCTAGGCAAATTGCCCAGTTTCCTCTGCTCCCAAATTTCCCAACTGCAAAACAGAGATAATTCTTGCCACCTCTATTTTTTAAAAAAATAAATAAGGTAAATGTTTCTTAAACTCTTTGAGAGATTTGACTGAGGAGATATTTGCCTAGAATTATTGCTAGGATCTTTGTTATTTTTTTTTCTTTGCTTTATTTTTATTTTTATTTTTTTGCTTTTGTTGGGTTGTTTTGCTTCTGTCAAATTTTGGCATACTTTTAGAAAATCTAAATTCAGTTAGAACCATCCCTCTAATATTAATAGATCATTTACAATATGCAAAGCACCTGTTCTAGGCACCTGGAGAAGAGAGGAGGCACATCCACCACCTTCAAGGAATTTAGCAGGTTTGCAGTTGAATAGCACAACTGTGGCCAAGGTGACATGTCTGGAATTCCACTCTCCTAGTTCTGGTCCCCTGGAGTAACCACTTAACTTTACCCAGCATTGGTTTCTTATCCAAACCATAATAACTAACATTTCGAGTGCCTACTAGGTGGCAGTGGATGTTCTATGCAGTGTACTTGTGTTAAAGTACTTTCAACTCAGAACAATTGCCTGAGACAGATTACTATTATGGTTTCCATATTCATAGTCTCGTTTTACAGCTAAGGATTCTGAAGCTTAGAAGGGTTGTAAAGCTGTTCCAGGTCATATCATTAGGATCTGGTAAGGCCAAATTACAAATCCAAGCTACTGGCCTCAACTTCTGAAGACCTAACCACTGAACTACACTACCCTCCAGTGGAAACAGTGAAACTTACCTCTGATAGGGTTAGGARGATTAACTGATACAATGCATAAAAAGCTGCTAGTGCGATGTCTGGCACATAATAAATAAATGCAGCAGTCGGAAAAATCAAACACATCATAAATAATCAGAATGTCATGTCAAAAGCAAGCAACCACTCCCAGTTTATTTCTCAGGAAAATCCCTTCTTATAAACCAAACATTATAACCATGGAGTTATAGGAGGGAGCTGCATGTGAGGAGAGCAGCCTACAAACTGCAACATCTCTGAATCATCTCTACCATAAGGAGCAATGGTTCATGCATATCTAAATTTCCAAAGCTCCCTTGGAGAACTGCTAAAGTAGCTGAAGCACCCCCCTCGATTAAAATTCAGACTGCATTTTCGAGAACAATTTCCAATCGAGCAATGTAAAAATGCATCTGTTGCAATTATTCCCCTCTGTAACTCCTGCTCCCCAACTGCCTTTTGGAAGAAACAACAGCATGAAGTGTCTTTTCACAGTCTGAAAAATCAAAAGCCCCATAAAGCCATCCTGCCTATGAAACCTTCAGAGCTGTTTTTTTTTTTTTAAGGAAAAATGCATAAAGAGCCAAGTGCTTATATTCTGGCCAAGTTATGAGCCTGTGAGAACAAGAGCTTGAGGAGAGGACTGTTAACTCCATGCATGCCAGCAGAATTAGCTCTTTCCCTTCGGGCTTGCACTGCCTGCAAAGCTCACCCTGCCCTCAGAGTGAGAGGCCAGCCTGCTAGAGAAATCCAGGAATCTGAAACAAAAACGATGACAGTCTGAAATACTCCCTGGTGCCAACCTCCAAATTCTCATCTGTCACTTCAGACCCTGACTAGTTGACAGAGCAGCAGAATTTCAAGTCCAATAGACTTGAATGTGCTTCTGGGCAAAGAAGCACAGCTAACGATGGAAGGGATTTAAAGAGTTTCTCTTGGGTATTTGTCAAACTTTTATTTCCTGGCTGTGCGCAAAGAGGGGATTCAACTTCAATTTTCTATCAACGCTCTGCATCCAGCCACCTATCTGAAGGTAAATTTTATAATTTATTGTCTATTTGCATTTGTTAAGCTGATTTACATGAATCTGATAACGCTGTTTAATAGTTTTGCCTAAATAATATGAAGTTATTTATTTTTTTWAAAAAAAAGGCTTTTTACCTAATTTACAGAAAAGCTACTGAACAGAGAATTTTGCCATTTGTTATTCATGTTTCCTTTTTTCCTACAAGATTAAGTAGCAAGTACTAATGAATTATAGTTTTAGTAAAGACCAAGAAGAGAAACAAAACTATTGTTAGCTGGAGTAGCATTCAGATCTTGATGAAGTCTGAATCCTGAAATGTGTTTTGTAGAAATACTTCACTAAAATGTGAGATCAACCATAGGGGAAGTTAATTAAATAGTTTTTTTAAGGTGTATGTCTTCGATATTTAAATCATCTAGTCATTCAATCACTAGAATGACTCCATAGCTCCGGTCTGTATCTAACAGCAATGTAGAATTGGAACATTTTGCTGAGGTAAGAAAATCCCTCTCATACTTTATTTTTCTTTGTTATTTTTAAGTTATTTTAGGTTATATCTTTCCTCATTTCCTTTTATAGGTTTATAACTGTTTCTTGTCCCCTTTTATCATTTGTTAAGATGCACACACAGGGACATGAAATTTCTCTGATTCCTGATGAAGTCTTATTTAGAAAAGCAAAAAGGGGGAAAGAGAATTTAAAAGCTAAAGGCATACAACAGTTCTTATAAAGTTTTATCATTTCTAGTTCTGTCTTTTAAAATATAGYAATATTGCAAGGAGGGCTTATTCATTCCTCCAGGCATTAAAGGTTACCCTGCAGGAGAAAACTCTGCTTTCAACTGCAGATCAATACTGCTGAAACTGTACACCGAGGGTACTGCAGAAGGAGTATCTCGTTTGCACTGCCTTTCATCTGCAGAGGTTAAATATGTCACCTTGGCAATGTATCTGCACTCTCCTCTGGTCTGGGGCCTAAGCACACTGAATAGAAATGTTCACTCAGTCCAACTCAGCAAAATCTTTTTTTTTTAATTCTCCCCCTTTTCTCATATATAACAGCTTTTTTTGTTCACATCTCACTCAGTTAAACATTTGTGGTTATGACTATTGTTAACTATGACATTTTTTTTTAAAAGGAACACTTCCTGGGAAAGATTTATGTTTATATTTCAGATCATCCCACAAGATCTAGCAAAGTAGAGCAATCTATCTCATCTGCTTATTATTCAATTAACTAATGCTGCTTTCCATAGTTTGGAAAAGATTATATGCATGTCATTCMTGAACCTTGCCTTTTTCTTTTAGAGAATTTTTGTACAGCCATTGAGCAATTAGAATACTTGAGGATTTTTTCTTCCTGGTCCTTTGGGATTTAATCCCAATTTCTTCTCATGGCTCAGTTTCATGTATCAACTAAGTAAAAGTAATAAACAGTGATGACAGAAATAAAATGCATAAGTGATATATCTGAACAACTCCAAAACATTATTCATTTCATTTCCTCTTGAGTGTTATTTTTACTCAGTTGACTTGTAGCAGTATGTGGACATTGCTATTTTAGTTAAATACAATATCCAGAACATGTTGGGAACATTTTCCATCAAAAATATAAACAATTTGTTAAAAGACCTGAGGTGCACTTTATTTTCATATATCACTCTGAAACGATCTTCAATGGAGGAAAATGGAACCCCATAAATCCGGGAGAACTTCCTTGATGGATCTGGCTTTCTGAAAGACGCCCAGCCAGGCCAGAGTCTTGTTTTTATAGGTCTCACAGGGCATCTTCTGCCAAAAGCTGAGCTCACAATGATGGTCCCAACTATCATTGGCCTGGTTTTTGTCTTGGGCATCAACACATGGACACAACTCCAGAAAACAGAGGGTGTGGTCTTGACCAATTGTTCCAAAGGTAGGGGGCTGGTCTAATAAAGCAAATAAGACTGTGGAATCTTATTTATACATGACTATAGAGGTCTATTTTATTTAAGACCATATAGATTTTATTTATATTCAGACTTTACCACTAAATAGCTCTGTGACTTTAAGCAAATGACTTAAAATCTTTGGGACTCAGTATCTTAAATGAGTAGCAACCTTAGACATTTGTTATATGACAATTAAGAGAAGAAGGTAGTGTGCCTGGTACATAGGAACTAATCAATCAAAGCTAACACAAAAGTACTGGCCTAGCTATGTGTCTGTGTCAAAACTTTAGGAAGGGAGCTTTCTCTAGCTTTCCCTTAGGGCTTATTCCTTGGACTTGTATATGTTGCTCCATAAGAATACGTTGATGCCAGGTCTGTGCCTCTGAATCAGCACAGCCCAGTGGACAGAGCATGGCCTTGAGTCTTATTGACCTGGGAATCCTCACTCTGCCTCTCACAAGCTGTGTGAGCTTAGGCAGTCCCTTCACACCTCCAGAACTCAGTTTACCTGCCTGTTAAGCAAAGTGATAATAATAATGTCCATGGAGGAGGTCATTGTAAGAGTCAAATGAGATATTTCTTTAACACAAAGTACAGTATCTAGCAGAATACTTGACACACGGAAAATTTTTACCTATTATTCATAAGAAATCTCATATACCAGTGAGATACATGTTATACACTTGAAATGACAGTTTCAAGAGTAAAACTAGAGATCAAGAAGGAAATATTCTGTGAGTTGTCCTTTTTTTAATCCAAAGAAATGTAAAAGTAAATTTGGGGCTACCGGATTCCCCCGGGGGGCTCTAACATGAGATGTTTGTTACTGTGGGTCTCCATTACTTCATCAATTAGCAGCTTCTTAACATCCAAGTCACCAGGGAGTGTTTTCTGCCGCAACTACCATGAGGCAGAGAGAAGACCTGCTGCTCTGCAGTCAGTCCTGCTTTATTGGCCCACTTGGACAAGGGAGAAGTCCCCCAACTTTTCTCCTTTCACAGCTTTTCTGGAGACAAGAATAGGGGTTTTGACTTACTCTAGAGGGTATTTTTTCCTCTCTCACTGAAATTCAAAAGAAAGGGATTTTTTTTATTTTGTTTCTTGTTTTTTTTGTTAACCTCCCCCCTATGTTCCTAGCATTGAGATGTCAGCTGCTTTTTCTGGCTCTGTGAAGCAGGAGCAGCCTGTCGTCATAGCGATGAAAGAGCATAAAGAGACTCCCCGAGTCATGACCGGCTCTGTGAAATAGCTCAGTCGGCTTCAAAATCCTTCTTTAGAAATGAAGTCTCCAGTCCTGGCTTGTTCCTTTCCTATTAGGCAACCAACTTATGTATACCAGTAGCAGTAGCTAAGTGTTTCCTTTAAAGATTCAGTGAATAGGTATTTAGAAAATGAACAAGAAAGCAACTAAAACCAAGGCCAGCCTACTATGGGGTGCAAGGAAAAAAACAACTGGGAAGGCAAAGAAGGAGAAATAGAAATGGCCTCACTTAATAATACATACTGCACACCACAATCAGTCCACTTTCCAAGTTCCCACTGCCTCTTCTCATCGCCCTTGCTATTCAGGGGAATGCTTGGACAGCCTCTGCTCAAATCCTGGCACTCACCCTCTCTAGTTATTTTTAATCTTATCCCCTCTGGGCCTCTGTCTTCTCATCTGTAAAATAGAGATAATAACAGTCATAAAATTGTCATGGGAGTTGAATGAGCTAGTGTGCATATGAAACTTATGACAGTATCTAACCCATGGTAAAGGCTGGTCACTAAGCCCAAGAGCCTCAATTTCCCCTCCTTGTTATATGGGGATAACAGCTAATTCATAAAATCATTGTAGGATTAACTGAAATGATGGATGTGAATGCTCAGTAAGTAGTAGTTGTTACAGTTCTTTTCACGGTTGGGTCTAACTCTGATAGTTCTTTTACAACTTGGAATTTCCCAGTGAACACATTGTTATATTGGCCTTGAAATATCATCACATAAATGTGAAGCATTGACTTCTAAAGAGAAAAAAAAAGAAGTAATTATGAATTTTCTACTCTATTAAAAAGTAAAGAATATTCTTCTCATCTTGATTAACACCAAAGCAAGAGGTATTAAAGCATCATTCATGAGAATGCTTTGTATTAAAGTTGTTTGGTTTTTTTGTTTTTGTTTTTTTGTTTTGTTTTTATTTTTGAGTCTCAAGTGTTTTCTAGGTCATGCAACTGTGTAAATAATATTTTTTATCTGGTGTCTCAAACAACAAACATACCCAGTGTTTACCCAGTATTTCACATGCTGTGAAATGCCAGATGCACAGGGAACCAAGCCAGAGAGGGCTGTGTCCTTGAGGAGCTTACAATGTCCTTAGGGAAAGGATCATTAATCAAATCATCACATTAAGGAAAATTACATATGCCCAATGTAAGATGACCTTGAATCCAAGGCCATCTTCAGTTTTCTAGTGAAAAATTTTGTCCAACCTGAATGTTCAAATGGATAATGTATTATAATGTATAGTTAGAATACTTGATCTATTTTTACACATACATATTTAAAATCTTATTTCATCTCAAATGTTTTTATACTTTAAAAAGTGTCTCACACATCCTGAGACAATTTTGTGAAAACTTTTCATACACATCCACATTTACATCAGTGTCATCAGTATGCACCAGATCCACTCTGTAATTATCTAACACTAAGCACATCATCAATCTTGGTGCAGGTTGTTTATAACACACATTTTAAAAACCTGCTGATGCTGCAGATGTAATCCCCAGGCATAAGTCCTCGTTCTGTGGTGATGCTCTCCACATTTTAATTACTTACCATATTGCTTTTTCCACTACTCTTTAAAAGGCTTATGTAAAACCACTTGAATCTATAAGTGTGGTTTTTTGAAAGTGTGTAATTTCAACACTCACAGTAATTAAGTCATGCCTCAAGAATAGTGACTGAGTCTTCTTCAAATATCTTTTAGCTCCTTTATCATCCATTCTGCCAAGGTGACCTTCCTAAGAACAAAACAAGCATTGCTTGAGACTATTTTAGACTGATTCCTGATTCAAAAGCCCCAACAGGCAGGAGC